CTTGAAGGACTGCTCCGAGGGCTGCAGGCAGATGTTGGCCGGAGATCTATTGCTGCCAGGAAAGCTTGCTTTCCAGGCAGGAAGATCTCTGTACACCAAAGTTCACCAAGAGGTGGGCCAAAGTGCACAGACCGAAAGACACCTGATTGACTACCTGGGCGAACTTCCCCTGGGGCATCAGGTGAAAACGATGACACGGATCTCGTAGATGGTGTAATTTCAATTTGTCTCTATGTGTGCAGTCTTTACTCTTTACAGAAGAAGTGTCCTGGCAATTTCGTGAAATGAGAACAGAGTCCAAGCCGTGTCGCAATTTAAACTGGCATTTGTAAATGCATATGCTACTCACCTCAGCGCAGGACAGGTCCGCGTTTAAGCGAGAACGCGAACCTAAAGTAGGCTGCCTAGGGCAGAACAGGCATCGACACCTGACCTACATAGGATGATGCGAGCATATACCTGTCACTGTATCGGTCAGGCTTTCCAGTTGTTTTCCAGGAAATGTCGAGCTAAACTAGCAAAGTCTGTCGAGAATTGCCTGACGTGGAGGAATGCTCCTTCGCGGGATTTTGGGGTAATTGGGGCAGAGCCGGTACTACGTACGGGGCATGACTCCCCATCAATGGAGCCATTGTCTCTAAATCTGACACCCCGAAACCCTAAACCCGAAGCCCTAAAGTCTTAAACCCTAAGCCCTAAACCCGAAACCCGAAAGGCCTAAAACCCTAAACCCGAAACCCTAAAGCCTTAAACCCGGAGCCATATCCTAAGATGTAGTTGAGATTGCTAGGAGTGAACGCGCAGAAGCAAGCTACGGAAGCTAACGTCAGGCTCTAGCCTTGAAATGCTTCCTGTAAGGTTAGTTCTCTTAGAGTTAGGGCTAGGGTTCAGGATTTGGGGTGTAGGGTTTAGCGTTTAGGGTTTAGGGTTTAGGGTTTGGGGTTAGGGTTCAGGGTTTTGACTTTGGGTTTTTTTGGTTTCGGGTTAAAATTTCCCAAAATAGTACGGTACCTTGATAAAAAGTATCCCAAAAAGGACCCTAATGAGAACTACCCTTTAAGGGTTTCCTCAAGGACGGTTAATGGCTGTGGGGTTTTTAGGGTTGTGGGGTTAAGGGTATAACAAGCATTTTTGGAAGCACCTGCCGTTCACCTTTCTGCAGGACTTGTCCGCGAGTTGGAGAGAACTGCTGCGAACCCAGCATTTAGAAACTCCGAGCCCAAGTTGTGAAGGGCCAGAGCAAGCGTCGAGACCTCGAAAAGAGCTCCTGAGTAGTTACTATTTCTTTCCCCTCTAGACCCTGTGTAGCTTTATTATATCATGTACCCAGACCCTAATCTAACCAATAACGTCCTGTAGTAGCTTGCGGAAGGAGTGCTGTCAGAGGTTCCACCATGTGACGTAGCTGCCCGATCGGTGAAACGACGGGGAGTAGCCTTATATCCTTACTTACAAAGTCCAATGATTTCCCAAGTACACATATTTTTTGGATGCGACTCGCGTTCCTCCCATCATTGCGTTTTGCATCTCACGGGGTGGTCAGGGGCCTCTGGGTGCTCTTAGAATCGTTCTTGGGTACTTAAAGGATCATGGGACGTAGCAACAAGGGTTATATCTACGGTAACTGTATTCAACATCACTTATAAGCCTAATAAGATACTTATATCCTTACTTACTAAGTCCCAGATCCTGCAAGTATGCACTGTTATTAAGTTTCTGACATTGAGAGGTACCGTATTTCAATTTTCGACACGAATCCCAGTAAGGGAGAAGTACCTTATTCAAATATGTGTCGCGACTCCTCTTATTCAGGGCGAGGTACTCGTTACGAGTCCTATTGTCCCGAAGCACTATGCTAATTATTACCTTAAGTGTCCATGTACCCACATGTAAATACTTTAGCCTTAAACCAGTCCCTATACAGGTACTTTAGGCTTATTTGGGTTCACGTACCCTTGGGGTAATTATCAAGGATAGGTAGACTTACCTTATGTCGCCATATTTACAACCTTACTTGCTAAGTCCCATGGACCGTTAAGGTACTATGCTAATTATTACCCTAAGGATCCCAAAACCCTAAACCCTAAGCCCTAATTATTATCCTAAGGATCCTAACATTTGGGGAACGCCCAAAACCCCAAAACCCGAAACCCTGAGCCCCACGCAGACGAAAGGGCTCTCCCTACAAAAGTCCGGACCCTCCCCAAAAGATACCTGGACCCTTAGAGTAAGCCCTAAACCCCAAACCCCCAAACCTTAACCCAACCCTGGGGCTATTTGGGTTCCTGTAGCCTTGAGGTCCTTATCAAGGCCCCTATAGTCATACTGAAACTCCCATGTCAACAAGAGCTCGGAGGACTGGTTCCCGCGGTTGCGTTCCGCGGTTGCATGTTTTCTCACCGGCGTCTGAAGCTTACGCTTGGGGTTTATAGGGTTATGGATGTAGCTAAGTATTTAGCGTGCAGGGTTGAGTGGTTCTGGGAGATCCAAATTACTTGGAGCATCCATCGCAGGAAAGAAAAGCCCTGTCAGCTGAGGAGCCAAGACTCATGCAGTGTCAGCTCTATGTGTGGTTGATGCCGCGGAAAAAATGCCTGAGTTGGGTTCGATTGCTTCGGATCCTTGGGTCTGTGTGAGAGGCTCCCTTGATACGAAACCTGCAGCTTACCAATACCATTCCTTATGGAGGGGACCTGGCTCATCACAGCAATAAAACTCGGCAAGTTTAGAAGCCCGAAGTGTAAGCCCTAAACCGATTTGTCAAGCCTCCTTACATTAAGTTCTCGCCATGGACCAGCGCTTTCCTTGAACTAAACATATTCAAACCCGAACGGTCTAAAGGATCCCGTATTACAGCAGGTACTTCGCTTCAGGATAGTACGATATAGTACGGATGCTATGTTGTAGTTTATGGGAGACTCCATTGATCAAGGTTTGGTACTTGGGCCCTTAGGGACAAGATGTCTTCCTAGTTTAAGGACCCTAAACCCTAAACCCCAAAACCCTAAACCCTAAGCGCTGGGGAATCCTCACCCCGAAGATTCGGGTTTGTCGGCCGTTGGAACGGTTCCCTGTGTTGTAACCCACTCAGAGTAGTCTCCGAGTAGCATCAATTCCGCGGCCCAATTCACCTATATGCAGATCCCTTCACCCTAAACTTAACAGCACAGCTCCACCAACCCCAAAGCCAAAACCCTGCCCTACACCCTACACTCTCAGACCCTGAACCCTCATCCTGCACTTTAAGCCTTCAACCGCATGACCCGAGAAAACCTAACTCCGAAGCTGCGAGAGCTTGAATTCCGAAGACAGGTCTGCCAAGACCGACTCCGGCTGCTGAATTGGGAGAACCTGGACCCAGACTGTTGCGGCCACCTGGGCAGGAATAAGGGATCCTCATGGACCCTTTAAGTCGGCACGCCAGTGTCGAGCTCTTGGAGGCCTTGTGAACAGCCTTGTCTTTGAGAGAGTTTCTCGCTTGCTTCTTGCGGGGACATAAACGTCCTTCGCGGAGCAGAAACTCTGGACCGGTTCATAACAGCATGGGGGTTGGGCTTGGCTTGGATTCATTCAGCTCTGTGTAGCGCCTTGCTGTGCTTGCTTTCTTTTCAGACTGCCCATCAATGAAGCAGAGGTTTTCACCGCCGCGAGTTGGGACTGCTCCGTGCGACGCGGCTCAGCGATGGCATGTACGAGGAGCGGATGGCATGCTTGCTGCTCTTGCGATCAGCTGCTGTCTTGCGCAACATTCTCCCATGGAGTGCCGATGACAGCTGTATTCCGCAGTTCTGTGCAAGGAGTCCTGGCCCATGTTTGACGATGACTGCGCTCGTGGTTGCTGGGTCAGAACTGGATTTTGCAATTTGCATTTTGCATCCTGGGGCCGACGCCGCCAGCTTTCAGACCATTGTGCTGATGTTGAGGAATCCTGAAAGTTGTTGGCAACATGGGCGGCAACTCCTCTCGGCGAACCCCACAGCTCGTAGCGGATTCGCTGTTCTCGATTTCCTCAGTCTTTGCATAGTCGGTGCGAACAGTGGTCTGAAACAAGAACGAGACACGAACGGATACGACCGCATCCTGAGTCCTGAAGACAGATGTTGTAACAATCATTTCTCACAACAATTGCAAGGTCTTGAGTATGGACGCAGCTCTTATGTGATTCGTGTGGACGCTGAGCTGCAACTTCCTGACTCGGCGACAGCAAGTTGAAGCGTGTGTTGAAGGTTCGCATGAAACGGAATGCCATGCATTGACGTTCATCAGTTTCTGTTGTTGCGTACCAGCTATGCCTATCATCTGGTACGCGACTGACGATTGCCAAGCTTAGACGATGCATAGCCGACATTCTCTAGATGACCTTGCCTGGGTCTTGGCGGTGATGATCACGACGATCACATACGTGATCCGACGACGCAGGCGGTAATCATGTTGTGGTTTCATTTGTTGCTGTCGCTTTAGTGGTGTTTGCTGACGATGTTAATGGTGATGATGGAGATAATGGTTATGGAGATGGTGATGAGGAGAGATGGTGAGGACGGCGAGTGGAGAAGATGAAAGGGTTGTTAGTATTGCGAATGCTCTCATCGATAACTTTGGTAGGTTCTCTTCGCAAAGTTGTTTTTTGCTCGTCTGACCTTTGTGTTTCGGGTGGGCAAGGAAGAAGTGGTATCCAACAGGCGAAGCGCGTAGTTGCAACTGTGCTGAGGGTTGTCGTGTCTGGACCGAGTATCGCAGTGCTGGGTTACAGTCGCTTACTGTGCTTGTTGGCATGCTCAGCAGCTTCTTGGGCGGATGCGTGGCATGATGAAGGAGAGCTGGACTCGCGAAAGGCGGCAGGATCGGAGGCGTCCGTCCAAGCCGTTGCAGCCGGACCATGCCGACCACTCCTGCCCTCAAACCCTCCACCTCAACGCCCTGTCATGGTTATCCCCAAGATCTCCACACAACCCGAGAAGTCTTGTACCGAGGAAGCGGGGCTGCCCCTGGAGTTGCGGTTCATGGGAACCTCCAAGCTTCCCAGGCCCGGCATCGGAAAGGGAGTGGAGATGTGCTGGCAGGTCGCGCTGTCGTCGCTTGTCCCCTAGTTGAGCCTTTCCGGGCTCGTAGCGGTAGACGCCTGTGATACCCTCTCAAAGCAACCTGCCCTGGCAGGCTCAGCCGCATCCATTTCTTTGCCGAGAGTTCAGGTCATGAGGTGCTCTTGCGCTTACCTCTGGGGCGCTTGAGGAGGCTGGGTTGTCGGATCTGGGACCAAGGGCTGCTCACAAACATTCCTCTGAAGGCCACGGCTGTACATCTTCGGAATCAACTTCGACATCATGCGGAGGACCTCCATTCCGAATGCAGGGGACAGCCATGGTGCCGAGCTCGGACTATTTTAGGTGCGCCTACAGCTACTTGTCGCAACAGGATTGTGGCTTTCAAACCTTGGAGAACCCAGGCGCGATGTACCTGGACCGTGAGCGGCTATGGTTGCTGGGCTTTCACACTCAGCCCACGACCGCCAAGAGCCAGCGCGTCGTGTGCTTTGAGCCACGCAAGCATCTGAGGCTCTACATCAATGCTCGAGGCATTGCCGTGGTCCAACTTGGGTGGAGTGCGTAGGATTCTGCTGTTGGTCGTTCGCATGTAGAATGTAAGCCTGGTCTTCCGTTTAGCATGCTCATGGGCAGGGATGTTGAGCGACACCTAATTAATTGGCTGATAGTCGTGTCTGCCAGGTTTCCGAGTTTCAGCTAGCCAGGGACACATCTCAATACGCACGATTTTCTGCTGTGACGAAATAATGGGAGAGCAGCACTACATTCGTCTTGTGCTGGCAGGCATGCCCGGAGGGAGTCGTGGACAAGGAGCCATTGTCCTGCAACTTCTGGAGGCCGCAATCTAGTGCTTGGAGGCCTTGTGTCCAAGAAATAGGGCCGGAGTCTGCTCTACCGGGGGACTCACACACAGCTTGGGGGGCAACGGATCATGTTGCCCATCTGAATAAAGCATTGCAGTCGGCGCGTAGAAAAGATGCCGCGTGTGACCGTGAAGAAACACTTTTCAAGCCATGGACGCAGGTCTTCGTTGCTGAGGTGGCTCCCTGACCGCATTAGTGTTCTCTTCTCCCTATAGCAACCTTGGTGTGTTGTGAATGAGGAGTTTGTGACCGTCGCATGCATCAGTGCGTTCGTGATTAAAGGTAGACACGCTCCGGAAGCGTCCTCTCCAGGCCACGATAATGCTACTGCAGCGTCTGTCTTAGGTCGTCTTCGTCCCACTCGAGGAGTTCAGCCAATTCAAATTCGTGGAAGACCTTGCGAGGCACAGTTGGGTTGACAAAGCTCAAGCGTGTCCATAGTTGTTGGTTCTGGTTTAGTCTTAGTTGTTGGAAGTTTCTGGCGTCGGCACTGCCGTCTGCTTGACGGTTCTTGTGAATCGACATGTACTGTGTAGTGACTGCCTGAATGTTGCTATGCGAATATTGATCTTGCAATTAGTGCTAGACTGAGATTCTTCATAATGCTCGTTGTTTCCAACTGCCCAACTCGCACGGCTTCGGATCAGGCCGGGACGACGACAGCGACTCACGGTAGTCTAAGCTGCAGCCTGTACGAAGGGTATTTCTTTCGATCCTTCGTAAACCAGGCGAAGCTCCGATCATGGTTTCTTTTCCGGGTCTCTTCTAGAAACCCCCTTTTGATTGGCTTATCAGCTTTCCCGGGCCAGGTCCCTCAACGTGACCGAAGACCGGGTCTCACTGGTGACTCTCGGACTTGGCCAGCTCAATGCTGCAGGGACGAGGGCCGGGAGTGAGTCTCCCACACTTTCGGGGTCGTAACAGCAAGGAGTTCGCGGCGCGATGCCGAAGTTTGGAGCTGAGGAACATCACGTACGATGGGCAGAGGTGGCTCGAGGGACCGAACGGCCGGCGATTGCGGATGGTGGCCGGAAGCCTACAAGCCCAGGGACCCATACCCCGCAAGAGTCAAGACAACTCCGCAACCTGAATCAACAAAGCCCACCTCCACCTCGTGTCTCCTGCGTCATCATTCTCGCCTTCACGAAAGTAACTAGCGAAACTCACGATGTCGACATCCGAATTTGCGTTTCAAGCATCGGAGCGAGCAGGATACGTTGAAGAGGGCGCAACTCCCGTTCCCGGCAGCACACAGCTCATTCGTTGTAGTATCTGGCCATTGCTGAACAGGATCTTTGCATCAGCTCCTGTTTCTAAGCTGAGATCCGCACATGGTTCTGTACCGTCGGTACATGGCCCAGGACACCTTGCGGATCGAGTTTGAAGTCTCCGAGGACCATCTCTGCCCTGTTAGTCGTACTAGTAGTGGCCAGAAAAGTCATCATAGCGAGCAGAAAACAGCAACCAGCGATCATCGTAGCAGGAGTAGGTTGACATTGTCATTCTTACTGTCGCCAACATGTTGTTGGTAGTTGTTCCGCCACTGCAAAGCATTGTCGTTGTCGCAGTGTCAACTCGCTCGCTGGCGGCACGAGGGTCGCCTATTGTGAAGACAGCAGCACTGGCAGGACCCGGATATCCTAGACTTGGCCGCCATGGACTCAGTGCTTCATGTCATGCTGAGCCCGACTTGTTGTGCAGTTGTTGCAAGGTGGTTTTTTGCAAATGTAAAATAGCTTCCCCTGCTTTAACCCACCAAGAAGCCAGAAGTCGGTCGAGAACGCACTCTGCACTTCATCTGACACGAATGGTAGCGTGGCTGAAGGTCTTAGAGGAAAAGGGAGGGCGGCACAAGACGCAACACCACAGGTACTTCTGGATGCGCCCTGGGAGTCCATGGGAGCCAGCGATGCTTTCTTTGAAGATTCCGTGGCCCAGTTACCTCCTGAGGCCGCACTACCAGAACTAGATTCGGGAATAGGATGTGAACTCTGCTGGTGTCTACAGGTTGAAGACCGGTCTTTGCAGGTTGAGAGTCATGATGCTTATGGTCGGAGGCATTGACGTGTGTTGCCGTGATTTTCGCAAGCTTAGCGCGGTTCCCCCTGCTGCTGCTTGGAATCTTTGAAGCCGCGAGGCGCTCTCGGTCGCCAGCATCCGCAACCTGTCTACAACTTTCCAGGTGCTCCCGCAACCCGCTCCGAGCCGCAAGGGGTTGGATGCAGCTCCTTGTTGGACTTGGCAATCAGGCTGTAGTTAAGCACTACCAGAACACAAGCCGTCTTCCAGCCAACTCTTGCAGCAAAGACTTGCAGTGCCTTGCAGAGAGCATACTTGCTGCAAGAGGAAGTGGCTTCGAAGGTTTGCAGAGTTACGCCTGGGGAGCTTGGACCGAGGCTGCGGAATCTACATTCATGCACATATGTGTAGATGGATATTGAATCTGCATATATAGATATACATATACACATTCGTTTGTTTGCTTATCTATTTATGTAGGTGTTTCTTTATTTATGTATTTGTTCATAGACATACACGTCATTACATTGCACTACATTACATTGCATTGCACTACATTACATTGCATTGGACTGCATTGCATTGCATGCATAGCGTTACATTACACTACACTACTTTACACTACATTTCACTGCCTTACATACACGTAATGAGTTCAGATACAGGAACCAACGAGACAAAGGTTGTAAAACCGGAGAGGGAGAAGGAATAGCACGTCTAGTGATATGTCATGAAAGTCGAAGTTCGCCGCTTCTCGCCGAACGACTGCTGCTCAAGTGACCTTCCCGAGCCGAGCTGGCCAAGCCACCGGCTTCCGGGAAGTTGGTGGTGACTTTTGTCATGTAAGTTGAGCGGCACAACCAGGCAGTCGGAGCGGACAGCTGCACTAGTTACTAGTTACTAGTTAGCGTTCTGTTTTCTTTCCGGGTGCCCCATGCCTCTGCAGCAGAGCAATAGCCAGGAAAGACTGCAGTGAGCCTAGCAACCATCTACTCTCCTGACGGGTCCTGCTGCAGCCCATGCGTGGAAGTCTATGAGCAGCTTCGTGCTGGGATGCTAGGCTGCCTTGCATGAGTCGGCCTATTCTAGAAGACTAGAAGTACGTTGTGTAAAGCACACGGGCAGTTGCGATGGCACCCTGTGGGCAGTCATTTCTCTTCTCGTATAGTCTACCCAGTTCCTCGGGTACGAATGTGATGGGACTGGCGATCCTTATGACCTCTTGGAGTTGGAGTTCCCAAAATGTTCCAGGTCTCAAGGAGCCGGCTTGTCTGTCTCCGCAAGGCAGAGCAAGGCACCTTGAATTTCGGTGTGGGTCTCAGCTTTTCCGGACTGATTCAGCATCCGGCATCACATTATTCAGCTGTGCGTCCTCCGCTTCAGACAAGAACAGTGCAACCGAAGAATCTCTCTGACTGCCTGGATCAAAGCCGGCTGTTATGAGTTCTGTTGTGATGTCTAACTTTAGGTCTCGAGGCGCATGGCAGAGGCAGGGGCATCCAGTGCCGATCAGTCTTTGCAGAGGGAGACAGAGACGGAGAGAGAGAGAGAGAGCGAGCTCCTGTCCCCAGCCGACGAGAGAGAGAGAGAGAGAGAGTGTGTGTGTGTATTTGTGTTTTCAGTACCACACCGGTAGCTCCAACCACTTGAGAGCTCACAGCTGGGGGGCTCAGCAAACAATGATGTAGGGCCTTCACAGTATTGCATTGCTTGTTGATGTGTGAAATTCTCGAGAGCCACCCAGATCCCCAAGAGCTGTGCTTGAACAACAAACAGCGATAGGGGGACAGATCCGGTGCGGGCCCGATGTTGCCGGGGGTCATTTAGTCTAGCTAAAGGTTTCCTGCTCAGAGGCCCCGGCCCACATCGGAAATAGCTTTCACACATGGACTGCGCAACCAGTGCGGGCACGGGCGCAGAGGGGGGTGCTACGCCCTTCTCTTGACTGTGTGGAAGAAGATAGCGAGAGCTGCACGGGCACCGGTCATGCTGGTCCCATCTGTCAGAACTTGCAAACACTGGTGGCTCGTCAGATGTTGTCAGCACCAGAAGGGTGTGCATTGCACCCTGCCTGCGAAGCAGGCGTGCCGGAATGACTATGAAAATCGGACGTGCCTGGTGCAGTGTTCGGGCAGGTGACCTTCGCAGAGGAGTTGGTGGACGGGCACGGCGAGCGGCAGAGTGGCTCAGGCCCAGATGTCGTGAATCAGATCTGGTCTGCAGCTGGAGAAGTTTCTGCGGTTTGTTCCGCTTCCGATTTCGACCGGGATCTTCTGGTTGCCTTTTCAAGGCCAAAGGGCTTTCAGGCCTGTCTGCTCCTTGATTCCATCGTTACCACCAGGACCTCGCCCACCAGCGCACAACATCTGGGGACCGTGCGGGCTATGCCCACGGCCTTCACAGCGTTCCGAAGCTGCGAATGACTGCGCTCTTCAACTCCGTACTTTCTGTCTAAGATACGAGAATGATGGCGTGAACATCCCTTGCAGCTTTGGCTCCCAACTTCCCAAGCATTCTAGCAGGAATGGCAACCGTTGTTGTCATAGTTATAATCATACTGAATAGAGGCCTGCAGCACGCGTCCTGTAGCGTATGGCTACGCAGCCAACCCTTTCAGCAGGAAGCACATCGAGTAAGTCGGAGTTCAGCTCAGAGGACAGTGACTCCGACGATGCTACTCGGCTCTTCACGAAGGCTTTCAGCGGCTTTTGGAGGGCGGTTTAATGGTCACCGCTGGTCTTGGTTGTGTTGGTTCGGCCACGGCCATGACTACTCTTGCTTGTGATATCATGTGAGGGGCTGAGCGGCATTGATTGCAGCTAGTGATTGTTTTCATATTGCGATGGCACACTTCTGCCCACAGCCTCTATATGGATCTGACAAAATCCTCGTGGCTCAGTTGCAGGAGCCTTCTTACCCAGAGTAACCAGAGTAGGTTGAGAAATTCTGACCACATAAAGAACCTTGCCAACCCAAAAAGCACGATCTCTCATGCCTTCGCTGGGACTCAGTCATACTCCCACAGCGCCATGTTTTTTTGTTGCACGGCTCCGATGAACCGTGAACGAAGGGGGTGCAGATGCATGTTGGATCCTCGTCGGGGAAGCTTCCAGTTGCCCGGGGCTATTTCTTGTCGCTGCTTCAACTTCTTTCAAACTCTTCTTCTGACCCAGGAGCAGCCGGAGGGATGGAAGGATGGAGATGAGGCCCGGCTAACGCAGAGAAAAAGCTGAGTGGCCTTTGCAGGGTTTTCGGTGTCTCGTTGTCAGAATTGGTCCGTTGAAGACTCCAGTGCACACTAAGCTTCAGTAGCAAACACATCATTTTGAGTTCTAGTCGTTCGTTGCGATCGCTTCGAGCAGCTATGCCTGATGGTGGTTGCGTGTTGCCGGTAAGATTGACAAGCTACTGCTGCTGCTACTGCTACTTGTGCTGCTGCTGCTGCTGCCCCTGCACTGTACTGCTACTGCCACTGCTCCTCCTGCTGCTGCTCCTGCTCCTGCTGCTGCTTCTGCTCCTATCCCGCTCCCGCTGCGGCTACGGCTACTGCTGCTGCTACTGCTGCTGCTGCTGTCTCTGCCACTGCCACTGCTACTGCTTCTACTGCTTCTAAAAGTGCAGGTACTTGTAGCGAGTCGCAGCGAGATGTCTGACTTGAGGGCGTGAGGTTGAGGATTCTGCAGCCGGTTTGAGAGTTAGGGTTTACCCTTGAGCATATGGTCGTGTAGCTACCCAGCTGTATAACATAGTAAGTACTCGTACCTATACAACTTAGATAAGCAAAACAACTTCACCCATAAATACGCATTTAGATCGATACAAATGAGTAGATACACATACAACCCTGCACACATGCAGAGACACACAGATACAACGTCAGGCTTCACCCGAGCAGCTTAGCCGAAAGCGGCGGACTGCTGTGGACCGAGTGACATGGTTTCTTTCCTGTTCTGCAGTGCTTGGTTACATCGCTTTCCATGGGTCGTAACTCTGCATCACCTACCCAGCATTCATTTGAGGTGCCCCAGCCCCCAAGCTAGCCCAGACAGCCTTACGAGCATGCAAGGACTATGGCACCTTGCCTTTGAGAAGACCTCGCCCCAGACCCCAAACTCCAAGATGCAAAAGTGAACATCCAAGCAAGACTTGCCAAGCCTCCCAACTCAGGACACGCCACCAGACGCATGATCGTACAACAGTCAAATCTCACCGGGGTGGGGAGGTTGCCGGCTTGACAGGATGCTAGACCGCTAGACTCGGGCTCGGGCCCCGTTTTTGTCTCAAGCTTCGAGGTTTCGGCCTTGCAGACCCCAAACTCTAGATCCCATTCAAGTATGCCTTTCAGAAGAGTCGGAGCCCGAAAGAGGAGATGCAGAAGGTCGACTTCACTCCATCTTGGGCCCAGGCTCAATCGGAGGCCCGGGAGGGCTCCGGTTTCGTGGGGTCCCCGAGATGACTAAAGCGTACAACACGAGACGAGCTTCATTTCTGTAGTCCGGCCGTGTTCCTCTATGCTAAAGCCGCTCATGGCTGCAATGGTTCGGGCTCGGAGATTCGGAGCTCTGTGGCTAACCAGCATCCAGAAGTGACAGCCCGAAGCAAACACAGGCGCCTCTGATGCCTTGCAGGATTTAAGCCTCCTGAGACTGATCATCGCCGTGGGCTCCTCGAGCGAAGCAGGGCGAGTGCATGTCGTGGAGTCTCAGCTTTGCTTCAACGCTCAAAATACTAAAGCGTGGAGGCGCGGGCCTGATGGTGAAACTGTTTATGGGCATGTGAGCAAGAGCATACTCGTAGCAGTCATCATCATCATCATCATCATCATCACCATCATCATCATCATCATCATCATCACCATCACCATCACCATCATCATCATCATCATCATCATGATAATAATCGTCGTCGTCAACATCATCGTCATCTCCCATTGCCGTGGTTGGCGTACGTACATGTGCAAGTACCAATAGGGATACGCTCGGTGCAGAGTGTGCGTGTACATATGTATGCATGCAAGCATGTGTTCATGCCGGCATGTATGCATGTATGTATGTTTGCATGTATGGCTGTATGGATACGCGGATGCATGCATGTATCCATGTGTGGACAGGTGTATGTAAGCATGCAGGTCTGTATGTATGTAGTTATGTATATGTCTGTGTGTATGTGACTGTATGTGTGTATGTACCTATGTGTACAATTAGCAAAGCAAGTGTTACACGGTCGAAGCATCAAACCCTCAACCCCTGGCGCCTTCGCCCATCTGCAAAGCACAAGATGTGTGGACAAGTGCTAAGGTCAACAATGTCACTGCCAACTCGGACAAGCCAGAGGTCCCGACACAGGCGAATCCTTACAGACACGTGCATATGCGCACAGAGGAAGACAGATGGATGGGCAGGGAGACATACCCTTATGTGTGTAGACATAGCTAGAGAAGGTTGTTTGGTGAGAGAGCAACTCTGCTTTGTTTTTCTATCTCTCTCTCTCTCTCTCTTTCCCTCCCTCTCTCTGTGCCCACGCCAGTTTCGGTGCCACGTCTGTATGTAGTTGCCTATCCACATGTTTGGGGTGTGCATGTGAAAAGACTCACAACCGTCATCAATAACACCGTAGTGTTCTTGAACTTGGGAGGGGACAGACGTGGCCGGAGCTGCTGCAGAGAAACTCCTTCGATGTATCAACGCCATCGTGGAGGAGCTCCGTCCTTGAGTCGCAACCTTAGGCCTTAGAATTTTCCTTATGGATGCCTTGGGCCTACTAAAAGGTTTTGATTTTGTAGGTCAGGGTAGGTCGCTTTGCGCTGTGCCTGTGGGTCGAGGCAGCAAATCCATGTGACTTGTTGCTGGCCGCAGGAGAAGCGTGCCCAGTTCCTACACCTGAGGCAACCGTCATGCGACAGGAAGCACGAAGCTGCGCAAGAGGACTTTCGTCGCCTGATTTTTCGGTTAGTGGGAAGATTCGGCTCTGAACTGGCCAGGCTTCAGTGGCTGGTCTTCCATCTACACAGCAAGACCAACGTGTTCCCCTGGCATCGTTGTGGATTCTGACACGAGCGAGAAAGAACAAGAGAGAGTGAGTGCGGGACTGAAGGAGGGAGGACAAGGCATGAGCTGAAGTGAACAAAGGAGCGGGTGAATGAGAAGGGAAGGTGCGGAGAGTGCCCGATGTTTGGAGTGGATCTGATAGAGTAGCCACAAGTAGTCTCAATCGGAAGCACAGGCTGACGACAGCTGCCACGTGTATGGGACAGTCCAGTCAGACTTCGGTGACTCGGGAGCTGCAGCAGCAAGGGACAGATTTCCACTGAAACCCTGGTGTGCAACTGTTGCGGTCTCCCTCTCAAAACTCGGTTGCTATGCAGAATCGAAGCAAGGCTGGCCAAACATCCGACAGAGCTTTCAGCAAAGTACCTTCTCAAGCAGGTGCGTGTTTTTCCGATGACTTCAACCTTCCCACTCGAGCCAGGACCGAGGACAAATTCAAGCTGCCAGAAGCTTTGGAGACGCCTCGTTCACAACATGCGCAGAATGCACGGGAGGTGCTTTTGCCTCAACTGCACAAGGATGCTGTGGCACTGCTGTAGATCTCATGAGCTTGCTCTGAACTACACATGTTATATCCGTCACGTCCCGATGTTGCATGCATGGCCGTGACGGAAGCAGTCTTTTCGTGATGATCCGGCTCTTTGAAGCAATTTAACTTTCTGCGTCCCCTACCTTGCTGCACTCTGTGCTTCGTTTGCTTCATTGCCATGTCATCCCCGGCAGACATGCTCCGGGACTTTGAGATGCTACGTGCGCACCTGATGGCGGTGCTCCGTGCCCATGAGCAGGGCCCCGAGAGGGTCAGCTCTCCCAGATCGGCTTGGACTGGCGATGCAGCCGGTGAGAGTGAAGGCCCGACCATCTTGCCGAAGAAGGTCCTGGGTCTTATGGACATGATTGAAGAGTACAGCTTGAAGGGACAGGCAGTCTTCCAAAAGATCGCCGACTACGTGGCCCAAATGACCCCCAGCGAGCTGCAGGTTGCGGGCCGCGTTCTCATGGACACATCGCTCCAGGCAGACTTGGCGGAGTCCCACCACCGTCTCCGAGCCTTCAAAGCGGTGGTGTCTCACGATGACGACCAAAGCGATCTCGCCAGTTTGACCTGGAAGGGACTGCTGAAGAAGATGGTGGCAGAAGGAGTGAAGCCTGAGAAGATCCGCGAGGCTTTGTCCCAGCAGAAGATTGAGCTGGTCTTGACCGCACACCCGACGGAAGCCCAGAGGCGAAGCGCCCTGAAGAAGCACGAGGACATGCTGAGCTATTTGCAAAAGTACGACGGCAAGGACTCGCTCACCCCAGGACAGCTGCAAGGCCTCGATGACGATATCAAGGCTGTGCAGTGGAGCTGCTGGCGCACGAACACGGTGCGACGCACCAGGCAGGACCCACACTGCTGAGACTTTAAGCCAATTGCCGATGCACATCAGTGGTCAGCTCAGACTTCGCACCATGTCCCACACCTTCCCAAACCTGAAAAGATTAACATCACGCGGCAGGATACTCCATGAGGAAATTGCTGAACGTAGTCGTGCCGGGTGAAGGTAGTTGAGTGGTTCCATATAGCTCCCGCATAATTTTCAAGGAGCACATGTGTTGACATGCAGAGATTGTCTTGATCAGAGTCGAAGGAAAAACTGCCTGTGGTCCATCTGTTTTCGCTGAATAACTCAATATATTGAAACTAGTACCTTCAAGGGTCGCTCGCTGCTCGCTGCAAGGCCCACTCCGGAGGGAGAAGCGCGCAATGGCATGCTGGTCATCGAGGACACTGTCTGGAAGGCGGTGCCGGAGTACTACCGCCGAATCGACCGCTGCTTGAGGCGAATTGGCCAACCTCAGCTTCCTTACGGTGCATCCATTTTGAAGCTGAGCAGCTGGATGGGAGGAGATCGTGATGGCAATCCCAATGTGACGTGGCAGACGACCAAGCAAGTGGTGACGCTGCTTCGCTGGCGTATCGTGGAGCTCTACTACCGCGAGGAGAGACGGGAGAACTGTGCAGTGCAGTGTAGCGATGTGTAGCGAGCTTCCGAAAGAAGGAGAGAATTGCGTTGAGAGCTGTGCAGGTGGATGAGCTGCTCTACGAGCTGAGCATGACGGGTGAGACCAGCGAGGAGCTTCAGCGGGAGATCGAGGCAGTCAGCAGCATGTGGTCGGCCCCTACGGTGCCCGGAGGCAAGGTTTGCCGCCCCGACCAGCGTAGCGGTGTGCATTGGAACTTCCACACCGGCGTGGCCGCCGACGAGCCCTACCGAAGGCTTCTGATGGCCATTCGCAGGCGCTGCTGGCGAACGAAGAAGACGATGGAGGTGCATCTCGGCCGTGTGCAGAGTGCAGTCGACATCAGTGATTTTTTGATTGCACGCGCGCGCAGGCCATGTACATGGGCAGCCACGTAGAGGCGGACTTCGAGAAGGAGGTTTGTGCCGTGCTGTTTAAAGCTGTGTGTCACACGAGGAGCGCTACTAAGTTTGAGACTCCAAATCACTCCTTGGACCTGGGAGGTTCTGACGTCCGTGGACGAGCTTGCTCGGCCCCTGGAGATTATCTACCGCTCTTTGGTGGAGAGTGGCGATGAGGTGGCGGCTGCAAAAGCACATGTAGGTATGTAGGATTCTAGCATTTGGGGTTTCGCTGTGTGTTGTTGAGGCGGTGGCCAACGGCCGACTCCTGGACCTCATCCGCCGCGTCCGCACCTTTGGCATCAGCATGGCCTGCTTGGATGTGCGCCAGGAAAGCGACCGCCACTCAGAGGCTTTGGAGGCGATCACCGAATTCCTAGGCCTGGGCAAGTACACCTCCTGGTCCGAGCAGGAGAAATGTGACTGGCTCGTGAAGGAGATCGAGTCGAAGAGGCCTCTCTTGCCTGAAGATCTCGAAGCCAGCGACATCGTCAAGGAAGTCTTGGCTACCTACAAGACCATCTCTGAATTGCCCATCGAAGCCTTGGGTGCTTACTGCATCTCCATGTCCCGGGCCACCTCGGATGTCCTTGCTGTGTGCTTGCTGCAGAAGATCGGAGGTGTGAAGAAGTTCATGCGTGTCAGCCCCCTCTTCGAGACCCGCGATGACTTGATCAATGCCCCCAAGGTGATCGACGCCGCCTTTAGCGTGCCATGGTACAAGAAACACATTCAGGGCAGCCAGGAGGTCATGCTGGGCTACTCCGACTCCGTGAAGGATGCCGGAAAGTTTGCCTCTACCTGGGAGCTGCACGTGGCCATGGAGAAGATCTTGGAGGTCGGCAAGAAGCACGGTGTCAACGTGACCTTCTTCCACGGCCGCGGTGGCTCCATCGGACGCGGAGGTGGCCCTCCCCACCTGACTCTCCTGGCCCAGCCGCAGGGCTCCCTGGAACGAGGCCACCTGCGCTTGACCATCCAAGGTGAAACCATCGGCCGCCACTTTGCCAGCGCCGAGGTCGCCGAAAGGACGCTGGAGCGATACTCCACGGCGGTGCTGAGGCACACCCTCACCCCACCACCACTCCCAAGCCCGGAGTTCCGAGCAGCCATGCAGGAACTGGCCGACATTTCCGCAGAAGAGTACCAGAAGACCGTGTTCAAGAGCGAGAATGATATCTTTGTCCGCTTCTTCCACACCTACACTCCCACCTCCGAGCTCGGGCAGATGAACATCGGAAGCCGCCCCGCCAAGCGGAGGGCCTACGGAGGCATCGACACGCTCCGGGCCATTCCCTGGATCTTCGCCTGGACCCAGACTCGACTGCTTCTGCCGGTCTGGCTCGGCAACGGCCTCGCTCTGCAGAAGTACATCGATGCCGGGAAGCTACCGCTCCTCCAGAAAATGTACAAGGAGTGGCCCATGTTCCAGTCCATGCTCGACCTGATTGACATCGAGCTCGGAAAGGCTGGGGTCCGTTTTCATTTGTGACTCGAAGCCTACAGAGCTGGCTAAACGGCTATGCAGCCTTCCATCCATCCATCCATCCAGCCAGCCAGCCAGCCAGCCGTCCATCCACGCATGCACGCTGGATCATGCATGCGTGCATGCATGCATGCATAGTTGTGGACGGCGGACGGCAGACAAACACGCACGCGCGCACGCACACGCAC